AGCCAGGCTTTCTCTGGACAGGTACTGAGGCTGGCCTCCTACTTGATCAGCTGTCACAAGTAACCAAGTAAAGAGCAAACCTCACAGTTAGCAGAGCTGGCCTCAAATAGACCTAGGTGATTGTGCGCCCAGTTGTGTGGGAGAGTGGCAGATAGCGTCCGGAGACGCGTTACTAGCCCAACCTTCTCCCTCCTCCCCAGAGCTTTCCTTTGGCAGATGGTTCAGTCAGTCATCCATTCTGTCATTCCCAATGTCTTTGATATCCCTTCTTTCCTCTCCATTCCCACTGCCGCACACCCAGTTCAGGACGTCACCTCGCACCTGAGCTATTGCAATCATCTCTTCCACAGCTGGTCTTCCTGCTCCAATCCATCCCGCCCACTATACCAGAGTACTTTCCTGATGTGATTACAACACTACCCTGCTCAGAATCCTGTGTTATCTCTCCCTCCTACCTCCACCCCACTGCCACATTGCCCGTAATAACATCAAAACTCATCTATTTAACTTGGGAGACACTCTTCAGCTTGGTCCCGTGCTGCCATTCTAATCTTGGGAACTTGAGAAATAATTGTGTTTCCTCACTGTGACAGGATTCATAGGAACACCTGGGCTCCTTCTTGGAGCCCAGCTGGTTGGGCACATCGTATTAATGATGTGATCTGTAGTGGCAGAGGGTTTCCTTCTAGGAGCACAGCCAGTACTCAGAATCACACAGTGTCAGTCCTGGAAAGGACTTAGACATTATCTCTTCCATCTCTGTCTCACAGGAAAGGAAACCCAAAGGCCCATAGAGTGAGTTGCCTTTGGTCACAGTTCCTAACAGAGTCAGGACTCAAATGGAAGTGTTTTGATGTCAAAACCACGCTTCTTGATCCTTGGAATTTATCAATCCCATTGCCTTAACAGCGATGCCTGCCTAGAGTTTGCCCCAGCATTTGAATGGAGCTGAAGTTTCTCTTTCTACTGGTTTAGATTAAGGTTGGGGTTCCCAAAGATGGAGTCTTTGCACCCCAAATACTTAACATCAGCACATGGAGACTTCTCTGGCCATTAATCAGGATAAAGACTTCCTCAAGACTCCCAGATGCCATCTGCCCAGGGTGAGAGAAGGGACAGCCTCAGGGCAAACTGCTGCAGGCTTTCATATCCCATTTCCCTGCCCCCCCCCCCACCTCTTGGAGAACCTAGCCCAGGAAGGGAAACTTCTGACCTTGCTTCTCAAAGCCTCCTCCTTTTGTTTGGCTTGGTTTCTGCTGCTGCTGTTGTTCTACATCTATTAACAACCTCTAATTAAAAGACAGAAAATGATGTAGCATTTTCAGTTGGCCAGTGTACCTCAGGGACCTATTACAGTACAAATTACTCTGAACTGTTTGGGAAGGACTTGGTTCCCACTGTGGCTAAGGCTGGGACTTCCCACTGTAAATGGAATGGGGACAAGAGGACCCTTCTTTGACAGTCTGGCCTGGGACATGAAAGTGACGCCAGCAATTGGAAGCAATTTGCAGGACTGTTTGATGAGTGTATTAATTACGGCACCCACAAGCAGCACTTGGGAAACTGTTTTGTTTTCCAGCATTCTTTCCTGATTACTTGCAGCAAAAGCCAAGAGACAAAACATGCCTTCAAGGATCGCCAGCGAGAGTGTAGGAAAAGCCATTGTGTCTTTGTGCACAATTGGCACTTGGTTTCCGAGGGCCACGGCCCCCTCGATGGAAGCATTTTCCCAAGTAACTGCCATGGGCTATGTTTCACTCAGGGTCAGCACCCCGGATTTAAAACCGCCTCTGTCTCTTCACCTCTTCCTTCTCTTCTCCACCTCCCCCCTCCAGCCTCAGCCGCCTTCCCTAGGGTTTGCTAGTATCTGTTCAGTAACCAGAAGATGGCGGCATCTACCCCAAGGGGCTTTCACAGAAGACAGCTTTTTGAAGTGTTTGTGACTCCCAAGTCCATTGGCTCTGATACAGCATTTCTGTCCCTTCTCCATCATCTCCAATCACGAATTTCTCTATCATCTTTGTACTACTGGGAAATTAGCCAAGAGTTTCTGCCATACCTGAAAGCAGAAAGATCAGATCACAGACTTAAAACTGGAAAGAATTGTTGAGGTAAGAAAGACAGCCTGCTGGAGTGGACAGGCCCCCAAACTTGGATCTCGCTGTACTGTTTACTACCTGTGTTTTCTTGGTCAGGTTACTCTCTGGACTCATTTTATTGCCTCTTTAAAATGAAAGGGTTGAACGATCTGATCTCTCAGTTCCCTTCTAGCCCTTAATCGTAGCTCTGGTCGTCTCTGCTGCAGGGCACCCTGGAGCGTCTTTTCCTTTCTGTCCCCTCTCAACTGCCTCCTTCATTCCCAGAAAAGATGGATTCTTGTGCCAGGCCCGAGTGATCAATAGATGCTCCAAAAAGAATCCAGACTTTGAGTCCTATACCATCAGAGCTAGAGAAGCTAGCAAGATGGAAAAGCCTTTGAATGGCTGGGGGATTCAGAGAAGGTGTAGAAAGATGGGGTCAAAGGTTTATGGAAGACAGTGTGGCAGGTGGTTTTGTCATGAAGGTAGGAGTTAGGGAAGATCACACATATTGTTGGTTAGTGAGAAGTCCAGTAACATTCTTGACACTGTTAGGAACTTCCTGATGGGCTGCTGTGTCCTGAAAACTAATACAAATCATTCCAGATGGATAGATGACTGCTCTGTTCTTGAGAACTTTGGAAAAAACAGCTTTCTCAACCTCTCACCCACCCCCAATCCAGTTTTCCACTCCAGCTGCTTGCTTGTGGTCCCCAGTGTAGCTTATGTGTCTGCAGTAGCCTTGACTGAAGACATTCTTCTGAGATTATAGTTCCCACAAGCCAGTGGTGGTCTGGAATTCTGGGCAGATTGGGTATATACTATTTGCAGTATTGCTGTTCCAATGATACTTCTCTCTCTGCTGGTTCTTCCTGGGCATCAAGAAATTAATTCAACATTTTTTGAGGGGTTTTTTTAAGTCTGTATCCCTTTTTTTCCAGCAGCATTTTGCTATGGTTACAATAGAGACTTTATCTCATAAATACATGTACATAGACCACTAAGATGAGCAAATTGGTATTCTTTATTTTCCATGGAAGGCTCTGATTAAAGAGCATGTGGCCTGGACACTGGGAGCCCTAGATTCCAGTAGTGATGACCACTGACTTACTGGACAACCTTGGGTAAATCACTTGCCATCTCTGCACCCTAACTTCCTCACCACAGACATGAAGATACTGTAGTAAACAGCTTCCAAGGTACCTTTCAGCCTTGCCATTCTGTAAAGGCTGTGATAATCATTCATTCATTCATTCCTCCATTTAACAGATATCTATTAAGCATCTGCTGTGTGCAAGGCACCTACAAAGGTAAGTAACACCAGGTCCCTGACTTCAAGGAATTTAAGGTACAGTAGGTGATTAAAATGTGTACACAAATCACTCCAGTATAAAATAGAATATGATAAAGCCATGAGGCACACAGAATTTTGAATCATTCAAAGGAAGAAGGATGGATAAGGGAAGGCTTCATGGAAAGGTTCATGACAGGTAGGATTCTTATAGGAAGAGTTAGGAACAGAGTGTTCCAGGGATGATGGTGATGACAACAACAATGACATAATCTTATATTTTTGTAGCATTTTATCTTTTCCAAAGGTATTTCACCTATATTTAACTGAAGAGATGTGCACAGTGCCTAAAAGAAATCAGGCAAAAAGCTTTAAAATCCATTTAATGGACTTTGCCTCTCCTTTCTTTTCCATTCTTTAGGCTCAGCAGGACCTTTGAGATGTGGCTAGAGGCAGACCACTGTGGTCCCAGTTGAGTGCTATGGGGAGCATAAACAGCAGGGTGGAAGAGCCTGTCTGTAAAATGAGGGGATTGGACTAGATGACCCCGAAAGACTCTTCCAGATTTAACATTTTATGAATCTGTGAGCAGCATGAGGAAATGTGGGAAGAGTTAAGCCTCAGCTTGTTGAAAATTATAGGAACGCATCTTCAGGACTGAGTTATTATCTGTAAAGGTCTCTGGGAATGGAAAGAACCAGGCACGTGCTTACTCAGTAGTAGGGACAGAAAGGCAAGGTTTTTAAAAACTTATCCAGACTGACTTTAAAATCCACTTTTCAGCCCTCCTGCAGGGCCAAACCTGAGTCTCCTGGGCTGAGGACTGTGCCTGCTGATACGATGATTTCTCCCTCTGGACTTGAGCATAGATAAGAAGCTAAATATCAAGCTTCTAAGCAAAAAAAGCTGATGCTTCTCCTCCTCTTCCAAAATACCCAGAAGGCTCAGAGCTAAGGCTGTGCCCTCCATGGGCATATTTTACACGTGGATGGACAGATGCTTGGTATTGGTCCTCAGGAAGAATCACTGCCCATTGGCCAGGCATATGGACACCCATTTCCTCGAGGTGGGGAGCCCCCCTGCTGAAAAGCAGAATGAGAAATGTAACACCACGGAGAAAGGTAGCCCAAGATCATTTTATCATTAGTTATCCACTCCTACTCCTCCTGGTAGAGGTGTTGGGAAGAGGGCAGGGGATATGGCAGCGAGAGAATGACAAGCAGAATCCTCTGGTCTAGGGAGAATTTGGTGTTGATACTAATGTTGATTGACATTGGTGGCCATTTGCAAAGTGGACATGCTGATTACCACTTTTTCCATTGTGGCTTGTTGTTTAGAGGCACTGTTGGAAATCCTCTTGGGTTTGAAGCTAAAAGGTCTGAGTTCTTCATCCTGCCCTTCTGCCATACTGATAGTCACGCATAGGCAACTGAACTTTTCGGAGCCTTTGTTTTTTCACCTGTAAAATGGGGATAATAGTGCCTGTCCACCAGTAGCTTGGTGGTTCAGTGGATAGAGCACTGGAGTCAGGAAGACCCAAGTACCTTAATCCACCGGAGAAGGAATTGGCAAACCCCTCCAATATCTTTGCCAAGAAAACCCATCGACAATGTGGTCCTTGGACGTGACTGAACAGCTGAGCAACAACAATAATGCCTAAGGCCCAGACGACTTTCCAGGGCCGGTGTGAGGATTAACTGAGATTGGAAAGTGCTTTGTAAACTCTGAGGACCCACATGGATAGAAGGTTCCATTATTACTGTGCTGTTGGCCTACGTGAATCCATGTGAGAAAATTGCTAAATCTGTCCAGGCCTTCTGGGCTGGTAACGAGAGATCAGAGCAGCAAGAAGGGAAGGGAGCCCTCTCTTATTCCCGCTGAGGTCGTCAGTGGCTGCCTCTGATCAGGGAGAGTCTAGTCCTGCCCAGGCCAGGGAAACCGAGGCACAGGGACAGAATGATGTCTCAGAAGGAGGGAAAAGCAGCACACAGCTAGACAAGCAAGTTAGTGGTGTGCCTCCTTCCCTTGGTCACCTTACGCCTATAAAGCATCCAGAGCTGCTTCCTTAAGGCCACATCCCCATTCCCTGCCTTTTAATCAAATGTTGCAAAATCTGCGCTTCCTAGGATTGAAATACACCAGCCGTCTCTAATCCTTTCTCAGCTCCAGTAGCCGGCCAGCAGCTCCGTCCCAACAGCACGAATAGCTGCGACAGAATAGCTGTCAGGAAGTCAAGGAAAGGGATAGATTAAAGGCTGCTGATTGTATGCCTCCCCTGCGAGGGCCCAGAGTCATCCTATCTGTTGTTTGTTGGTGATAGCAGGTGACGGATGAGATGGGGCCGGAGAAGTTTCTGGTGATCAACCCTGCCATAGCAGATCATCCTTTAATAATGTTAGTATGTAGGTCCTTTCCTACCACATAGACGCTAGAGCCGGGACAGCTGTGATACACAAGTCCTCCCAGACTTGTTCAGCTTAATCCATTTGCAACTTGGGAAAAATAAGGTAATTGTCCAATGGAGAGAAAAAGAAATCTATTAATATTTGCTCCAAATCCAAGTAGTACAGACAGCACTTAATTAATGGAGCAGATTTCTCACTGTGTATTCAAGCTAACATAGTCATTGTTCAGGAGAGATTAGACTCTTAATGTAAGTTAGTAAGTTAAACTAGACTTCCATCTAAAAATATCCATCATTTCAGCTATTAAAGGGCTGATGTCTTCTTTGGTGACAGATATATTTCCCTTCATTTCCTTGGTTTTATAAAATGTAAAGTATGCATTGTGTGTAATGCGAGAAATCCACGGAGGTAGATGAAATGGAGATTGTGCCCCCGCCTGTCTCTCTCAGCCTGCCCCTTTGAGCCACCCTGTATTCCTGAGCCTCTTCAGCCCATAGACCTCCTGGCACCAGAGAGAAAAAAACAGCAAATGCCATTTGTCAGGGTCTGATGCCAGCCACCTAATCTGTTTGCAGAATGAGGGCTGGGGGGAATCTGATTAAGTAATTTAGATACCTGTGAGTTTAATAATACCTGAACTGGGGTTGGCCAGCAGCCTAGGGTTTCACTTGTAGGATCTCCCACATTCTTCCATCCCTCCTGTTAACTACCGTTGCACAATACCCTGTCTGAACGGAATGGGTGTGGAGTCTACAGATTAGACACAGTTTGGCCTTGGCTTTGGGGGTTGCCTGGGCAAGAAGGGAGGTTTCCAGCGCGCTGGAATTCAGGCCCAGCACTCTATCTAATGCTCTACTCTGCTGCCCTTACTTGTACCCTGGATCCAAAAAATGCTTTGCGCTGCGCGCAAACACACACACACACACACACACACACAGAGTATTTGTGACATACTCTTACAGAGTCCAGTTCGTCCTAAGTATCACCCTTAAAAATTGTATTCTGAAAGTTTTTTTTTACACAGCACAAATAATGTTTCCATAGCCTTTTTAATGTTAATTTTTAAAAGAGAAGAGTGTATGAAATTAGCTAGGATTTGACCCAAGCAGGAAGTGAAACTGACCATTTTTGACTAAGTTGCTTCTGTCAATAAAAACCCAGCAACAACACGAGCAGGGACGTTTCCAAGTGATGGATGGCCGTTGTGTTGTAACTGCAGTTTTGATTGGAGAAAGTCCAATGTCTCTCCAGGAAGATGGCCTATGATTCTTCAGATATTTCCTTTATAAAAGTAAGACCTAGAAGGTCAGAGCTAACAGGAACCTGTAGATCATCTTCTACAACCTCTCCACTCCCATTTACAGGTAAGGACCCTGAGGCCCAAAGAGGAATCAGTTGCCTAAGATCACAAGACTAATTTGTACCCGGCACTTTGTTGTGACAGATACAAAAAAAGTGCCCATCAGGGGCCGCTAAGTAGCGCAGTAGGTAGAGCTCTGGCCATGGAGTCAGGAGGACCTGAGTTCAAATGCGGCCTCAGACACTTGACACTTACTAGCTGTGTGACCCTGGGCAAGTCCTTTAACTCTGATTGCCTCAGCAAAAAGAAAAAAAGTGCCCATCCCTTGGTTGACACTTTCCAGGTTTCAGAGTGCTTTCATGTAAATTTTCTCATTGACTAATTGCATTTACTGTTTTACTGAAAAGTTAATAGTTAAAGTGTGCAATTGGGTCATGTTTGAAAAATGTTAAGAAGAAAGAAAAATGTACTACTGCTTGAGAGTCTCCAATCCAGGGCTCTTCTTTTTAATGTAATACTACTTTTCACCATCCCCATATGTCCCTGGATTTGAGTTCAAAGGCAGCCGTGCATTTAAAATCAGAAGGCGTAAGTGACTTCTTGTCTTGCCATGCTCCAGCTCTGTGATCTTAGGCAGACCACTTCTGGCTTCTGGTTTTTTCACCTACAAAGAGGGAGTTGGGTCAGATGCTCTCCAAGGACCTGCCCAGCTATAGTAGTCTGTGAGTTTGACATATCTCCTTCTGTGAAAAAGTTAAAACCCTACAAGTCTGAGCAAATAAAGAACACACTGAGTGGCTTATAGATGACCTGTGGTGTCAGAAGACGGGCCCTTCCCCACTAGCCAGGGCACTCTACGGGGGCAGGGCGCCTCTGGGTGCTTCCAAGTAGTTAGAGGAAGAGACAGTGCTCCAGCCAGCTCCACTAGTGTAGAGGCAAACAAAGTTTGGGAAAGGAAGGAAATGGGGGGTGGTTCACTTTGAAACCAGTTCCGGTACTGACTTTCTGTACCACCCTACGGCTGCCAGTCGGGGTAAAGCCAATGAACTAACCAGAATGTGGAGTTGTTGAAATCAGCACTAAGTACCCCCTTGCTATAGCTCACCTGTGGGAGAGCCCTCCTGTATTCCCTCACAAGCATCTCAGCCTTTTTGTTCACCCCAATGTATGAGAATGCTGTTCCAGATTGCAGTGCAGGGGGGGAAAAAAGCTGATTAAGTGTTTGAGATAAGGTTATGTGACACCACAGGTTAAAAATGCCTGAACTGAAATTGAAATTGGCCCCGTGCCGGAGAGCGACGTTTCAGTGAAGAGGCAGCCCTGAACTGGCTTTCAGCGGGGTTCTCTGGCCTCTGCTTTGAGGAGGAAAAGGGTCCATTTCAAAGTGCCTCCTACAGCAGGCCCTCCCTCTGCCTGCCGCCGTAACTGAGGCTCCAGTGGCTGCTGTCTTTGATCTCCGCTGGATAGCACTCTGGTTTGGCACGTTCCTATCAGTCTCATGGAACTTACCTTTGAAAATAGTCAAAGACAAGGGGAGATCTCCACATTCAGAAGCCCAAACCCTTCTCAAGTGCAGTGTTTCTTCCTGCCCCTTCTCACTCCACCCTTCCTCCTTGATGGAGAGTGAAATGATGAGGGATGAGCTGTGCCAAAGGCCATATGTGGGATAATTGGTGGCTCCTAGCTTTAGAGAGAGATTGACCCTTGAGACCCCATGGCAGAGCCCGGAGAGCATGTATCAATGTGGGGAGGTCACTGGTCTTGGGCTTGGAAGGGTCTGTTTTCCAGCTCATCAGTTTAATAGCTACAGCACGTGACTTCAACTCTGAGCCTGTTCCCTCATCATACAAAATGAAGATGATAATACTTAGAATATCTTGTTATGAAGAAAACACTTTGTAAACTATAAATGAGAACTGTTATTATTCCAAGGGCAAGGTGTATAAATAGAAGCCATGTCAGCTTAAGAAAAGGAGACCAGAGACCCAGTGCTAGGGCCTAGAACACTTGGGGTCCCACAGTGAGGACAAGGTTTCAGTGAAGGACGTGAGGTAGCATTATTTGAAAAGTCTGGATGTTGCCAAGTCAGCTTTTCTTCAGTGGCATACTCTGCTTTTTGGATAAAGTCATCTCTTTCTGTTTTGTTTTGTAGATGGCCTTAACCCTGACACCAAGAAGCTCCTAACAACTACTACCACCAAGAAGAGGGCTAAGGTGGGAAAAGGAGACATGACCAAGGAAGATGAAGGGTGTAGCAAAGGTGATCCCGCCCAACATATCTCCATCAGCCTCTACTTCAAGAGATATGTGTTTGATGCCCAGAAGAGAATGGTTCAGTCTCCTTGAAGTACAGTCCTGCCCACTGGGCTGGGCCCTTCAGCCAAAGAATCTCAGGTTATGGGGACTGGGGCCCTTGCTTGGATGCACTACCAGTGCCTAACTAGACTGATCAAATGTGATTCCCTCAAGGCTTCTGAATTGCTTCCCCCTCCAGATGGACACTCCCCCTCCTAGGCTGAGCTGCCCAAAGGTCCATGAGCTGAAGGTTTCATCCCAGCTCAGACTTCCAACTAGTTTATCAGCTGGCCTTCTGACTGAGGCTGAGGTTCACAAGGGTTCAGAGGAGGAAGGGATGCTTATCTTTTCTAGTGTGAACAGAAATCCATTTGTAATCGTTTTATAACTTCCCATGTAAACCTTTCCCCGAACACCGTTTTTTGAGCCCAGGGGAACAGCCAACCAGATGAGAAAGGAAGAGGAGAAAGAGAGGGCACCAAGAAGAAAAAGTCCAAAATAAATCAGACTCTTTGTAAATTTCTTTCATTTTTCACAATTTAAAGGTTTTATTAGGGATCCAGGGAGTACCTTGTTGGGGAAGTGTCTGTCCCTTATGTGTGGTTAAGCCATAAGAAATCTCTCCCAAGAGGCACCAAGTTTAGGAGCTGGTAATAGGCAGCATGAATCAGGCTCAAATCTTCTGAGTTGGCTGCATTATTCCTGAATACCACAGTCTGGGAAAACCACCTCTGGGCCATTGTTCCTGAAATCTGCCTGCCCCCAGGTTCATTCCTATACCTCAGACCATGAACAAAATGAGGAGGGTGGACTGAGAAGCTGATATCTGAGGTCTAGCTCTGACTGCTGTGATTTCTGGTTGTGAATAAATCTTCAGTGTCCAGGCCCTCTTCTTGTTTGTAGTGGTGTTTAATTGGGATCAGATGGGGAAATGAAAATGCAGGTCGGTTCCAATCATACAGTCCTATGATCTCAGAGTGCTTCCCACAGTCTCTTCTGAAGAGTTCCTCTCTTTCTCTCTCTCTCTCTCTTTCTGTCTCGCCTCCTGTATCTGTCTGTCTCTCTGTATGCCTGCCCGCTGGATTATTTTTATTTCAATTGTTGTCTTACCCACTTCATCCTTTCCCCTCTTAGTTCTTAGGAACTTACTTCTTAGGAACTGCCTCTGAACCCCAAGCCCTCTCTCTTGTTTATTCAAGACATAGCTCCCCTGGTTTGGCCCCCAGCATCATCACTCATCATCAGTCACAGGGTGTGGCAGAATCATTCTCCTAGGTAGAGCATGTCCATTAATTGAGTGTCCCAGCTGGCCAGAGCTTTATGAAAAAGTCCTTCTGGAGAGAATGCTTTGTTTTTATTTGTTGTTATAAGAAACAAGTAGCTATAATAGTAACATCTGCATAGCCAGTGTTCATTTTTGTATCTCAATTCCTCCAGAAAATGAAAGACTTAAGAGCACCTCCAAGAAGACAACAAATAGCACATATTACGCGCTGATGGTGTGTTAGACATTATCATTGGCTCTGAGATGGGAGAAGGCTTAGGACCTCCCTCCCATGACCTTTTAATCTTTAAGAATATTAGAACTTAAAGGAGTCTCAAAATAATTATACCAACTCACTGTTAAGATGGAGAAACAGACCTAGAGAGAAGTGACCTTCCATTGGGCACAGATCACGAGGGGCAGAGCAGTGGCTAGATGGCCTTCCCATTAAAGGACAATCATATCTGAGGTTCCATCCATCTCTGAGAATCCAATGATATTTTAATTTAACAATATCCTTGGATGCAGAAGCTTACACAGCTGTACATTTTCTTAAAGGGTGCTTGTTTTGTGACTCCCTCTACTGTAGGGATAAAAATATTTGGGGATCTTGGAAAAGGTCACATTTTAACTCCTGGATTCACCTTATTGAATTCAACCACCATTTGTTAAGTTCCTACTGTGTGCAGAGCATGGCTCTTTGGGAACCATTGTTCCTAGTCCTTTTCAGACCTTGCCACTCCTTCTGTGACCTTCTTTGTCCCAAAGAACTTTTCCCAACCCTGTTCTCTGAGGATGTGAATTTGGCTGCCTAGCTGGGCCTACCTCTTAAGGGCTTTCTGTTTCTTCTGGCATTGCTGAGGGGTGGAGAGTTGGGGGAAGCGTACAGCAAACATCCCCTCAACCCTAGCATTCATTTTCCAAGACAGGTTTTTGCTGCACAGACTGACTCCTTCCTTCTCTTCTCTGTTCCCAGAGTGGGAACTGCTGCCTGCTTGAGACCTTGGATTGCAGCAAGCCATTACCGTGGATTGTGTGCTGCTGTCCTGGGGCTGTTTGATACACATTCAGAAAAGGGTGAAATGGTGGAACCAAGTGATTATGAGGAAATCAAAGCTTTTAAAGACATTTGTAGGATGAACAGATGTTCAAACGTTCCTTTATTCGGTCTCCAGACAGACACAGAGTCTTTGCTTTCATCCCGGTAATCGGTGCATTATGCTTTAATTTGTGAAAATGGCATTAGAAAAATATTAACAGGGTCATGTTGTGATCAACTGGCTTCATGTCATTAAGCTGTGGAGCCAACGGATGGAACTGGGGAAGGGGCTACATGCTGCAGAACCCAGCATCCTGGCCCATGATGTAGGAAACAGAGACCTTAAAATACACCATGGGAATGGGGAGGGGTCTTGGGTTTTTAAAAAGAAATCATGGGGGTTCTAATACTGGCAGACTCAAACTAAGTAATTCCCAGTACAACCTCATGACTTTGGCAGGGACACAGGCATTCTCAGCCTGACAAGTTGAGGGGGGCAAAGGGAAAAGATGTAGCCCAAAAGTGGCATAGTTCAAAGAGGGCTGAATTTGGAGCCAAGGGACCTAGATTCGAATCTTGTCTCTTTAGTTTACTACCTTTAGTCTCTTTAGTTTACTACCTTTCTGACCTTTAGATTCCTCTCTGGGGTCTCAGGTTCCCCATTTTAACAATAAGGGAGTTGGACTAGCTGGCCTCTTTTCCAGCTCTTCAATGTACGGTCTCATATGAAAGCATTGAGCGATGGAGGGACTGATTGGGTGCCAAAGGCCAGTCTTCCATATTAACAGACTTGGGGTTTGGGCAATTGTGTTTCAACTCGGGATGTCAGACTTCAACCCAAGAATAGGCAGGTCTGGGGTGGTACACAGGTAGAAGGAGCCAGGGCCTACCTGAATGCCAGTGTGAAGGATTCATATTAGCTGAGAAGAAGTCATAGGAAATTACCCCACTGATTGAGTTGTCACCATGGAGCAGCCTCCAGTAAGTTGGAAATAAGGTTATATTTAGGGTAACAAACTGCCTTTGGGATAAAACCTCTCATGAAAATGCCAGGCCAGTGACATTGGGTCAGCAGACTGGCTGACCATCTAAGTCTTTGAGCTAGAAGGGACAGTCTGTTGAGGCCACGGTGTCCGCTGAGTGCATTGAAGCTTTAGAAAGGTTAAGTGATTTGCCCAGTATCTGATATTCTGCCCATTCCCAACTACACTGCAGAGAGAGATGGAGAGCTTTTGGAAATGAAGACAGTTTGTGGTAACTTGACAATATCTTTCCTAAAATATAGCACCCAAAATTGGACACTATATTCCAGGTGTAGCCTGACCAGTTCAAAGTACAGCAGGACCATCACCATTGTTTGGTTGCTCTGCCTATCACCATAGCCAAAGATAGCACCAGCTCCTTGGGCTGCCATGTCATACTGACTCGTTGACTTTGCAATCCCCTCAAGACTCTTAGACTTTTTTCACCTTCATATGACTTCATAGTTGTTTGACTTTGTTTCAGTCGAACTCTGAAATGGCAACTGGAGAGCTCTAATTTGATCTCCCAAGTTTTAGAGCCAGCTTAGTTGCACAAGAGAAGCCTCTGTTTGGCCAAAGAACCAATGAACCATGACCCAAAAGCAATGTAGTAGACCCAGTGTCCAGTGTTTAAGATTTCTGGGAAAGCATTGTAGGAAATGGAAGAAAAGTCACTTCTCCTCTTCCTCAGACCTTATCACTCACTTTTATCCCGCCACCACTGGAAAATGGAGATAATAATCATTGCCCCTTTCACACTTTGCATTTATTAAGACATTTCTCTGAAAGTGCTCTCTGACTCCCTGCAAGTCTTTCTAGAAGAAAGAGCAGTATTAATAATCCTTTACATTGCTGTAGCACTAAATAATTTCCAAAGAACTTTGAGCAATTCATTTTTTAAAAATGTATGAAGCACCTGCTTAATAGGGAGAGATTCAATGTCCAGATAAGATACAGTCCTTACCCTCATAGAGATTAGTCAAATACATCATGTGATTTGTTAATAGTACACTTACATAACAGTTTGTTTTCAATATTAACACACATTTATATAGTGTTTTGGGGTTTACAACGTGCAATTTCTGAGTGACAGGTAGTTCAAGTATGTTGTCTTTCTCAAAGAGAGGGAACTTTGCAGTGAAAATGACAGAAAAAAAAAAATGTCTAACAGGAAGCTGAGACCCAAAATGAGTTAGGATATAGCACCTAACTGGCCTTGATGAATTCTAGTCACCTGAACCAGCTGAACTACAACCTCAGGTCCAAAATATTAGGCAAATGGGGTTGCTAAGCCACTGTCACCCATAGTTGAAAAGATTGTGGGAAACAGGAGAGGAACCACAAGATGAAGGTAGGGCAAATAGCCCAGTTTTCCAAAATGGAAGAGAACAGTCTGCAAGCTATCAGCCACTGAGCTTGACTTTGATTCCTGGGACAGTTCTAGAAAGGATCATTAAAGAGAGATGGGTAATGAACACGTAAAAGGAATATGTGAATGACCACGATCCAGCAGGGCTTGTTAAGAACAAGTCGTACCAGACTAACCTTATTTCTTTTTTTTTTCTTTTCTTTTTTTTTTTTTTTTTGGACAGGGTTGCTAAACTAGTAGGTGAAGGGAGTGCATTAGCTAGAATTCACCAAGATCTTAGTAAAGTTTTGGATATAGTATATCATGCTGTTCTTGTAGAGCAGAGGGGGAAATATAGGTCAGACTATAATACAGTTACATGGTTTCCGGATTGTCTGGGCACCCGGACTCATTTAATGGTTCAATGCCATCTTTACATTGGGTCTCCTGTGGAATAATCTGTCCTGTGCTATTTGACATTTTTCTCAGACTTGGATAAAGCCATATGTGATGTACTCATCAGATTTGCAGATGGTGTAAAACTGGGAGGGGCAGGTAGTATACCACATGTCAGTCAAGATCCAAAAAGATGTAATAATAATCTTATAGGATCAAATGCAATAAGGAGAAATCTTAAATCTTTCACCAGGGTACAAAAAAATCAACTCCCCAAGTACAGGATGGGAGAGGCGTGGTTAGACAGCAGTTTATGACAAAGATTGAGGGGTTTTAGTGACCTGCGCCTGACCCCTCAAAAAAACTAATGACAAGAACAGCTTCTGAGAGTAGAGAGTGCCTCTTTTTTTTTTCTTTTGTTGGTGAGGTAATCGGGGTTAAGTGACTTGCCCAGGGTCACACAGCTAGTAAGTATCAAATGTCTGAGGTCACATTTGAACTCAGGTCCTTCTGACTCCAAGGCTGGAGCTTTACCCACTGCGCCATCTAGCTGCCCGAGAGAGTCCCTCTTACGCTGCCCTTGTTCAGGCCCCGTCTTGAGTATTACGTCCAAGTCTGGCCACCATAGTTTAAGAAGAACATTGTTAAGCTGTTGTGTCCAGAGTAGAGCCACAAAGATGGTAAAGGGCTTGGGAATGGTTGTGTCCATGGTATATGAGGAATGATAAGAAGAACTGGGGACGTTCATCTTGGAGAAGAGGGGGACATTTGAAAATTTGAAAGGCTGTCATATGGAAGATAGGTTACATGTGTTATGC